AATCTTTAGGATTATATAAAAATACTTATCATACGAAAGACATACTGTAAAAAGTTATGTGTTTTCCAAAAAAAGAACAAAGTCAAATGACTGACGTTTTCTTTCCTTATGAGACCAAAGAGAGAAAAGAAAGTAGACATGTGAGTCTTGAATGCAACAAATATTGAAATGATTACCTCTTGGAAATAGAATTTTTAACTGAAAACTTTATTTCGTATATTCTTTAAATCAAATGGTCTAATTCTTATCCATACTTTGAATAAAAGCAAGATTATATCTTATGACTATTATCCAATTATAAAATAGCTTGACAATCATCGTTGATTTTAACCTAATTCAACAATATGAATTACGTAGTTAACAGAAGAAGGCATTTTGACACAACGTAATCTTAGATTCAACAATTAAATCGGATGTAATTTAACTGATTAAATAAATTAGACATGATTTGCCCGTGTGGTTTTCAAGGTACTTGAAAATATTTCAGAAAAAAGTCTTAATTAGTTTTTAGCAAGAAATTGACTTTCTAATAAATAATCAAAGCAACTATTTGAAACATTTAATTAGAAAAAAAAATCTCCTTATGCTTATATATTTAAATGGTGTTGAGAGAACTTTTGCTTAACCCCAAGTATTTGATCTTGTGCGAATGAAAGATGATATCAATTATTAAGGCTTCCAAGAAATACTGAGAGATCCGTTTCTACTATAAAAATAGAATAAACAACATAGATATGTCATATCCGATAATACCTTCAAGCAGCTGTTTATATAAATAAAATGCTGAGACTCATCATGTATAGGTTACATTCTAATCACTATTAATTATTATGTCACCATGAGCAGAATACAATCTCAACAGCATTAGTCTGATTTTATGTAGTTAAGCACAGCAACAGGTTTTCATGGTAAAGTATTAAAACTCGAAAGCAATAATTCATTTATAAAATTTCTTTGAGTCGAAAGAGTTTTCATAAATTCTATTCAAAAGCAATCAGAGATCGACACAGGGTTTGCTGACCCACTATTTGTATCAAATAATATATTTCAATCTTTAAATCGGTCACAACAGTTTTTTCTAATGTTAGACAATAAAAACAGAGAAAAGAATGAAGAGGTCCAAACAGGGCTCTAGGGCTATTGCTCAACCTGATCCTGACCTGCCTGTCCTAGGCATCACCGATGGTTTTCAGACTAGTGCAAGTCAGAGGTCCAAGCAATTTTTGGCCTTTCGGTCTGTCTGAACCTGTCACTTGCACTAGTCTGAAAAGCATGGATGATGCCTGTGGCAGGCGGGTCAGGATCAGGTTGAGCAATAGCCTTAGTGGCCTGTTTCGACCTCTGGTTTCTAGTCTGTCATCATTATTGTACTCGCTCAAAAAGCTTGACAGGCCCTACTGGCCTAAAAAGCGTGGTCTGTTTGGACTTCTATATCGGAGCATAGCGTATACGAAAGATTGCATTAATCGGAAAGTATCGTTTTTGATAATATAAATGAAATCGAAACTGAGCGAATCTAGCAAACGGACGTTAAGGGAAAATGGTGTAATTCATCGAATTACGGCAGAAAGTATTCGATAGGATCCGATTACCGAATGTGATCGGATTTTAAACCTGTCAGACCGGTTCCGATCCAATGAGATTGATCTAGGTAAATGACAATAGGTATTCCGCTAATTAGCAAATATGGAAACAGAAATACGGTCATAAAAAAGAGACTAATCAATAATACAGCAATTATCTGTGTATGAGCTACTTATTTCTCAAAAACCAAATTAACTACTAGTCAAGAGATTAAATGATGCTTTATGAATATTTTGTGTAATAGTATATAGTAGAGATGGGATCGGTTCGGTTCGCAACTTTTGAAACCGACCTTGGTCTCGGTTCGGTTCGAAGAAACTGCGAATCGGTTCCATTGACCAATGCTTTTTTTATAAGTTTGGCGCGCTTCGGTTCGGTTTAGCGTTCCTCGAAACTCCTTCGATTTCGGTTCGATTCGGTTTTAGAGACTTCGGTTTCAGTTCAGTTTGAATTTTCAAAAATCCCAACCGATCCCATCTCTAGTATATAGCTATTTTAATTTAACTATCGTGCATTACCGCTGTTAAAAATATCATATCACACAGTATCAATGCCATTTGATTTTTAGCTAATTCTCAAGATCACAAGAGAAGAAAAGGAAATAATGATTGAACATCATGAACACAATTCGATCACAAAAGGACATCTATCGAGAATGTTTTGCATATTATAGCTAATATGAATGAATCACAGACTATGAACTCAAATTTGGTTCACTTCTGAAAAATCATGAGAGATGAAGAAAATAGCAGTGACACACTCATTCGCTGAGTTACTGCGATTCATTTTTAGTATTCTACTGTTACAGCATGTTATCCATGGGAGACAGAATTCTTTTTCTTATAGGCACAGGAAAATGGTTTTTCTTTCTCATCGATAGCATCCTATAATAGTAGAACGGTAAAGATGAATCAGTTTTACCCCATGAGTAAGAGACCGTAGTTTTTCCTTCACTGTTATTGATACAAAAATAATTAACAGACTCTGACGTATATATTCATTTATCGTTTGTATTGCAAAGAAAAAGAAAAAATATCGCTTGTATAAAACATGTCCTATTTCGTGTCGTTCTGTTTGTTTTTTGTTACATGACGTCATGATGAATGTATTAAATAACTTGCTTTCCCGTCAAACATATAAAAAACCAAGATAAACTGGTTTTTTTCTGCTGCATAGATTCTATGAAACTTGTTGTTTTGTTATATCATGTACTTCATTTGATTTTTGTAAAATTTCTCTGATTAATGATATTTCTTTATTTTAGTTTGATTTAAAGAGAAAAAAAATGATTACAGTTCCATTAAATCCAAATTCAGTTCATATACCAATGATTAATAGTAAGTTATTGTTTTTTCTATTTGATATTATGTTTACCCTTGATCTTGTAGTTGGATGTTGTAAATCAAAATTTGATTCAACGTATCCAATTCATTTAAATGGAATAATTAGTAAACAGGATTTTCATAAATCAATTTCTAGAATTAATCGTACAATTTCATCAAACAAAATTTTAATATTTCTTTCAATTATTTTCTGTGTGAGCATAATGGGTGGAATAATAGTACTTCATCATTTATCACATGAATTTCTTACAATTGGAATGATTCTGATTATTTCTGAATCCATTCTTTTCGGTATTGGATGTTATATAATAAAACTTCAACGCATTATACGAATGCGGCATGCAATTGCTGAAGAATCAATGATATATTCATCGAGATCACCGATACCATGTAGTTGGAGATTAGATACAATGACACATTTTGTTGGAAGATATGGAATTTATCGTAACAATCATCTAGGTTATCATGTAAGTGTTATTGTTTTATAAGCATCTTGATTTTTTTGAAGAATATTCGTTATAAATTAAAAATAATCCAAGAAATATTTTTTGATGTGCTATATCATTTTAAAACACTTATCAAGATAAACTTTATAACAATTTTGCATTAATGAATTTCTACTATTTATTTCAGTTAGTTATCGATATTGGTCGCTCTACTGCTTCAGAAAGTGTAGTGTATTATTCCAATCAACATGCTTCTGATCCAACATCTGTTATCGGACGACATAATAATACGTCACCTCCACCATATTTTGTTCAGTCTGCTATAGAATTTTGTTCTCGATGTGGTGCATCAAGACAAGATCTAACAGGCAAACTTTGTTCATCATGTGGACAGCCATTCAATACATGTTAAATATTATTGTTTTTATTTTGTGTGGTACATTAAATAAATATTTCTATTTGATAAAGCTTTTTTTTTCGTATATGATTATGAGACAGTCCAAGAAACCATCACTCAAACCGGATGGCGAAAAATCTTTCATTTCAAAGCTGGCTATCCAGTTTGAAAGAGCGTAAAAAGTGGGTGTGGGTTCATGCCCAAAACAAATACTCACAGCATACCCATACCCACATCCACACCCATTTTCTTTTGGATTTTGTTTTTCTTCTTTTTTTTTAGTCTTCCACAGAACAAGAAACATTACCAAAACAAGTTGGAAATAAAACGGAATGTAGTTTATTAGATTTTGTTGGTGCTCTTGATGGAAGTTATGATGAAATACCTACACGTTATTCAGAAGAAAAATTTGTTCATGTTTATACATTTGATCAGTGATTTATCCAGTGGGGGGGGGGGGGGGGGGGGGGGGGGGGGGGGGGGGGGGA